AAAAAAAAAAGTGATGCTTTTTTTGTGGATTTGAACTTGGACGACGAGGATGTTGCCATTAAGTGTTTTTCTTGCCTATCTGAACTACGACCACGTTCATGTTGCCATGACGTGTTTTACCTGCCTATTTTGAACTAAAAGTGTGACTCCGGAGCAGTTTCCTCATTAATTTAATATCGTGTGGTCCGATGGACCACAGATCAGATATTAAACTGATCAGAACAGATACTACACTTGATCTTAGCCAAAAGGCCGAGAAAGGTATATTGACCCTTCATTTCTCTCAGTGACGGTCACCCCTCTTTCAACACCACATGGCATGTCGTTTCTGACTGACAGTGTACAGTCTGTAGATAGACTACGACGAATAACAGTAACAGGTGCCCGCCCATGCGCGACCGCAGGTCTGCGACTTCGTCAGTCAACAACTGCGACCATGGGCCTCGATCCACTACTCTCACTCCAAAAAAATGTGCAAAATGAAGAAGGAATCTTCCGCTAGAACATGGAAGGATACACAGTGGCCATGATTTTTGTCTTTTGTGCATGTCGAGAGTACTGGAGCGAGGCTCCATGTCCCGTTTATACTAGGGGGAGACTGGGTTTTGTGGTAATTATAAAAAGAAGAAAGAGAAAAAAAACATAGTAGCGGAGAGAGGCCCTATGTCCCGCATATAGGTGTTGCCTTCTTCTTCTTCTTCTTCTTTTTTTTTTTTTTTTAACAGAAATCAATCTTTAGTGCAAACAGCTTCACTGGGAGGCGGGGGACCTCACGATTCAACCCGGTAGAACAGTTCCTGACAGCATTAGTCAGTTTAGCTTCCAAGCTTCAGAGAGGGGTTATAAACTAGGCTCAGCTCCGGCCCAAACGGCCTCTGTCCTGCTGCCTCTCTCTGAGCAAAAATAAACAACGCCTTCAAGGCCTACAAAGCCTAAACAATCCAAATCCAACGGACCAGGTGCTTCTCTTCTCAATCCTATCTCTGAATTCTCCTACTTCCTCTTGTTCGACCACCTAACTCGGTGGTTGGACCGACTGGTCCCCCCATTCTATGACCCTACCTCTTCCCTTGTTCCTTCCGCCCGTCTCCTGCGACCCCTCCAAGTCCCGCCAACCAAGTACCCAGGTTTCGTCTTCTGCTCTATTTACTGTAGAATCAGTCTTCCAGTCTAAGCTGTCCTGCTTCCAACTTTGCCATCTTTCCATTCTTGGCCCATGTTTCTGCAAACCAATGCAGACCCACCTCCTTGTTCCTTGTCTTCCCCACCTTTCTCCTCCAATCTGCCAGAATTGATCTTCTCAGCATTTGGGTGAAGGTCTTCCTCATCTGTTGATTTGTCCATTCTTTATTCCTGAAGACCCTGTCATTTCTTTCCTGCCATATCACTGTACAGGCAACCACTCTGGCCGTCTGAGCAACATATCCCCAACCTGACCCGACGCTATGCCCTTCCTGAATGCCTCCCAATAGCACCCAGTTCTTCGTCCAATGAATTTCCTCTAACTAGGTCACTGCGTCAGGGGTGCCCGCTGGCTCCCCTGTTGTTCGCAGTCCAGTTTGAAGTCGTTCTCAACAGCATCCGAGTTCACCCACAGATAAGGGGCATGCAGACGGGACCTACCTCATATAAGGTTAAAGCTCTAGCGGATGATCTGTTTGCAGTAACAGAGAACTCCGCAGAGTCGCTATTAGCACTGAAGGAATGTTTGGATGAGTTCTCAGAGCTATCAGAAGCGGCCATAAACTGGCACAAGTCCGTATTTTTGTTACCAGCAGCCTTCAAATTAGAGGTGGAGTGGGGGATGAGAAGGGTAGGACAAGACAACTCAGAACGCTTTTTGGGAGTCCAAATATCGCTGATGGACTGTTCAGCCACGCAAGATGACATGCTCTCCCAGAAGTCGTTGCATAGACTAGTAACGTGCGCCACACCTCTCTATCTTCGGTCGAGCATTGGTATTGAACGGAGCTCTGTTTGCGCTACTATGGTTCGTGGGAGCTATGAAACACCTGCGGACGAGTCCACGGGTCCGATCTCGGATGGCGGACGCAGATGGGGCTGCGTCCGTGGCTGACCTGGTCCGCGCCGCGGACCCGATTTTACCAGAATTTTCCTATATATCGTCACAAACAGAACTGCCCAGTAACACCGTAGGCAGAGAGAGAGAAGAGGACAACAAACGAGGGGCTGTGACAAACTGTTTCGTCGGAGTTTCACCGACTCGTCAGGAGGCTGAACCCTTATATATGCCCCTCGTTTGTTGTCCTCTTCTCTCTCTCTGCCTACGGTTTACCGGGCAGTTCTGTTTGTGACGATATATATGACGATATATATATATGTTTGTGACGATATATATATATATATATATATGGGGTTGTAGGGAATTTTAAGCCCTACAACCCCTGGGCCATATTTTTTTTTTTGGAATCCGACTTTGTTTAGGATTTTTTAAAAAGCAAAACCTCAATTCGATTTAAAAAAATATATATGTATCGTCACAAACAGAACTGCCCGGTAAACCGTAGGCAGAGAGAGAGAAGAGGACAACAAACGAGGGGCTGTGATAACACAGCCCCTCGTTTGTTGTCCTTTCCTCTCTCTCTGCCTACGGTTTTACCGGGCAGTTCTGTTTGTGACGATATATATATATATATATATATATATATATATATATAAAGAAAAGCTGGATTTTTTTTTTGTCATTTTTTATCATGAGATATATGGTCCCTGAGTTCACCTGTATTTTTTTAGAAATGAATTGCTGTTTTTTGCAGGGTGTATGAGGTGTTTTAAAAAAATGCAGATGCAAAATTTGAAAATAAATAAAGAAAAAACTTCAAAAAAGGGGTTTGATTGATTGATTGATTGATTGTGAGTGAGTGAGTGAGTGAGTGAGTGAGTGAGTGTGTGTGTGTGCATGTGTGTGTGTGTGTGTGTGTGTGTGTGTGTGTGTGTGTGTGTGTGTGTTTGTGTGTGTGTGT